CTTGCGTCCCTCCATGCTTCCCTGGAGGGAGGGACTAAACACAGGGAAACGACGCAAGTGAGGGAAGCAAGGATTTCATTTAACTGACCTGAGACGGGGCCCTAGACTGTGTGTGAGGGGGGAGATTCCCCTTCGATTCTATTGGCTCTAACGGTCAAAAAGAGATGTCAATCACCAAAATCGACCAATGGGTTTTCACCCAAATCACCTCAGAGGTGGAGTTTTGTTTGCTAAACCTCTCTAAAAAGGTCAAATGTCACTTGTTTTGCATCAATCTTGATAAAGGGTACTTATTATATGTTGTACTTTGGATTCCTAAAGCTTTTAGTCTACCTTACCATCATCCAAGGGTAGTTTTCACTATAAGTAAAAACAATNTGACATTTTGTTTTTTAATTGCATTACAGAAAATAAAGAACTTTATCACAATATTCTAATTTTCTGAGACAGTCCTGTATGTTGTACTTTGGATTCCTAAAGCTTTTAGTCTACCTTACCATCATCCAAGGGTAGTTTCACCATAAGTAAAAAAGAATTTTTGGACGGACACTATAATTTAAAGTTTTTTACTATGTTCAATCTGAATTTTCTTTAAAATAAAAAAACATCTATATTGATTCTGACTTTTCTACATCCAACTCACAGGTTTATCATTACTTTGACATTTATTATTATTAATGTAACCCTGTTAGAAGGGAAGATATGGTCATTTGTTCTGGGAATGTCATTTTCGAGCCTGAGACCTGAAAAACAGGCTCAGGGCTTAACAGGTTCAATTCAATTTTGAATTGTCACCTGGAGTGTAAATAAAGACATTCCTAGCATGAATTGATGCAGAAAAAGCACAAATTAGAGCATCAACAATCCAACTCCCCTCCTTCCCCCTTCGTCCCTTGTTGCCCTTTTACTAGAAAAAACTGTTTTCTCAATAAAGATGGCATTTTCTGGGATCATCCTGTGCATCTATCAAGTATTTCCATCTGTGTTCCCCATCCATCTGGGAATAAATGATCGTGTCTGCGGAGGAGGGTGCAGTTCCGTGGCTGGCCGGCAGGTGGAGGTGTCGCCGCGCCGCTGTCCGCTAGGAGGTTTTGCTCCAACCGCTCCACTTTGTCCGTGGCCGTGACGTATTTCCTGGGGCTTGCACGGACCACTCAGCGGTACACCGGAGGGGTATCATGACTATTTATAACCAGCAGTTCTCTCTTATCAATTTTTCAACCGCTTCGCCGAGCGGTCGTCGGTCCTAATACCGCGGGGGGAGACAACAACACGCCGAGGTCGAACAGGATGTAAAAGGGGGTAAGTTAAGCGGATTGTAAGTTGTGCTGGAGCTTGTGATTGTACTTGTTTGGGGCTGCGTGGTCGGCGAGTTTGTCTCCGGTACCACAGAGACCCTGGCACCGGGCAGGACAGGGAGGCATTGGCATTATTGATCCCGGTTTGCTGTCAGTGTTTATGGGATCGTGAAGGAGGGCAACTCGCGTCCCGAAGTGACGTCGACTGCGTCCTGTTCTCCTGTGGTTGTGTCTGCGAGGAATGTGTGTCTGTGCTCCTCGGTAGGGAGTAGTAAAATGTGAGGTCGGAAATGCTCTTCAGGGGTGGATGAGAGGAAAAGTGGGAGGCACCTGTGAGCACCGCGGTGTCAAGTTAATCACAACGCGGTGCAGTTTCAGACATATTTGTCCAGCGGAGGAGTTATCATCCTTGGATCAGCTCCAGCCGCCGCTTCGGGCTAAATAATGACTACGTGTTGTTGTCACGGATTTATCAACGCGTGAGGTGAGTCAACCGAGGGCAAGCTCAACACGTACCCCGATCAGCTGATGCATTTACACATCTTAACTTTTTATAAACATTCAAGTGTTGTGGCGTTACAGGCCGGAGAAGTTTTCCTCCTTCCTGCAGTTAATCTCTGCTCCACATAACTATGTCCTTTCTGACAAAAACAGGACGTGTTGCTGTTTACACGGGCACACTTTACACTTAATATCTTGTGTATCAGCGAGTATGAAGGCTGTGGCTTTACGACTGAACTTTGTCACAAGGAGTAATCGATGCAAAAACAGCTGATTTTGTTGGGTTCGACTGGGCTGGATTGTTGTTTTCTACATTTTCTAACTTCCTGTGAAACATGGACCTGAGCTTTAGCCATTTCACATAAATAAGTGTGCTTCATTTTGGAAACTGAGCTTCTAGTGTTGTCTGTGCTTCCACTAAGCCCGACACTGTAATATCTCTCCAGTGAAGCAATACTAAGCTACTGATCATTATGAATAAACACTTAAGCAATGTTGATAACATCGTTGCATGCACTTTCATGTAGGCTACCAAATGAGAACAAGGCATCTCAAAAAAATAATGCCCATTGTTCTGAAGTAAGTGACTGTTTCCTTCTACTGTGTGATACAATTATTTAGTAGGGTGTTAAAGTTGATGCCTGAAATACAAGCCTCTTAACTAAATGCATGTACTAGTTGTTAACTCAACTCAAACATATTAATTGATTACCAAAAAGTTGCAATTGAACTGATGTTTACCAACCAACTAACTAATTGTCTTAAACAGATGCACCAGGGATAACATGAAGAACAGGCGAGACATTTTTGATAGTTCGCAGGCACTTGTTTAGGCTAATTGTCCGTCAAGCAATAACCGCCAATGACTTTTACAATATATAGATTCCCATTGTAAGAATGATTCACAAAGATGATCGCACTTTGCACACATTCAATACTTTGCGACCAACTTTACGGTAGTTTCGTCGGGTGGGGTCATTGTTATATCAGGTATACAGTCATATTAAATACAAAGTTCAATGGTGGAAATCCTACACCACTGAAGAAAGAGGTAAAACCCTCCCATGTTATCAATATCCTGTATTCACCAAGACAAACAATGTGGCGAAGGAGCTGTTGAATGAAACATGAAGGAGTTTCTGCTTTGTGACATCCTGAAACAAGGCTTTTATACTCATTGTGTCAGGATGAGGATTTATTTGACTATTTAGGTGTTATACAATTCCACCTTTTCCTTTCCTCTTGTTTCCCTTTGACTTGAAACACTATGTCACAACAGTCTATGAAGTGACCTAAGCACACATATT